TGAAATGTATATATTACATTAATTTTGTTTTATAAGAATGAAGTATCAAATCATCTTGGATTATGATAAAATTTTGTACATATGATTTAAGAGTTAAGAATTTTCAATTTAACGATTGGATTTATAAGATTCTCATTTAATATAAAGTTATTGAGCAGTGTAATACTTAGTAAAAGTTATACCGGTATTATTATAACCCTCATCATATATATATATATATATATATAATTTTGTGGACCTTTATTTTTATATGATTGTTAATTTTCGTAAAAAGTTTTTACATTTTTGACAAATATAAATTTGTCGGACATATTGCATCGGTAATATAACTTTTCTTACAAATTTTTTTCCATCAAAAATATAAATTTTTCGATGGATTAATTTGTCATAATTTTAAAAAACAATTTAACATATATTCTTTAATTCTGCATAATTCTTACATATAAAAATTTCATAAATAAAATTTATTATTTTGATAGGGATCAATAATTCCTCATAAATGTTGACAAAAATTCCGTTGCAAAATCCGTTACTGACTTATTTATTATAGTATTATGAGGCATTTTTGTGAGAGAATATTTATAGAGGAACTTAATCTGTCACAAAATCCGTCACTAATTTTATTTTTTTATTCAGTGACGGATTTTGTGACGTATTAAATTTTGTCTCTAAAAAATTCGTCACTAATTTTATTTTTTTATTCAGTGACGGATTTTGTGACGGATTAAATTTTGTCTCTAAAAAATCCGTCACAAAATTCGTCACTAATTTTATTTTTTTATTTAGTGACGGATTTTGTGATGGATTTTTTAGAGACAAAATTTAACCCATCACAAAATCCGTCACTAATTTTATTTTTTTTATTCAGTGACGGATTTTTTAGAGACAAAATTTAATCCGTCACAAAATCCGTCACAAACTTCAATAAATGGTAGTCTGTCAAAAATAAAAATTCCCTCACAAAATTCGTCACTATTAGTGACGATGTTTTTTCCGTCACAAAAATTCGTCACAAATATTAATTTTTCTAGTAGTGGAGTAAGGAATTTGATGCTTTAATCCAACATGGAACATGGGGCTTGGTACCTCAACCTCAAAATGCAAACCTCATAGGTTTTAAATGGGTCTATAAGATTAAGCAGAAAGCTAATGGTGACATTGATAGGTACAAGGCTAGATTAGTAGCCAAGGGATTTCATCAGTGACCAAGGTTGGATTACACTCAAACGTTTAGCCCTATTTTTAAATCAATAACAATTAGAATAGTTCTTTCCTTAACAGAACAACACAACTAGCCACTTCGCCAATTGGATGTGAATAATGCCTTCTTGATGGTTCCTTAAGTGAAAAGGTCTATATGAAACAAGCTCATAGCTTCATTCATTTTGAGAAGCCTCATCATGTTTGTTGTCTTAGAAATTCAATCTATGATCTCAAGCAAGCTCTAAAGGCTTGGTTGCAAACCTTGCGTAAGTTTCTATGCGATTATGGAATTGTTAATTCAAAATTTGACTCTTCTTTATTCATTCTCAGAAGTAGTGACCTTATTCTATACACACTCTTGTATATAGATGATATTATTATTATAGGAAACTCCTCTAGCAAGGTTGTTGAGTGCATTCACTAGTACAAAAGAAGTTTTCCACGTCGGTTAGTTTGAGCTTTTTACGTCGAAAAAATACCGACGTTAATGCGGGAGACGTAAATCTACGTCGACTTTGTAAAATCGACGTAAATTTACGTTAGACAAAACAAGGTCCGACGTAAAAAAGTAGTAAGAAAAAAAAAAACATAACTAGTGCAAGCAGAACGACTCGTTTTCCATTCAAAACGGCCCGTTCTTCATGGAGAACGGGTCGTTCTGCTCAAAGAACGGGCCATTCTGTAAGTAGAACGGACCGTTCTGCTTCATAGAACAACCCAAAAGAAAAGGCCAACAACCCATACAAATAGAACAACCAAAAAATCGAATAGAACAGATAGTCACAATAGTAATGCGAAGCAAAAAGATGTTAACGAAACCCTGATTCATACCTGATGAGCTGCAACATTGTGCAAATGAGTAACAAAGAGTTCACCCCACTCTGCAGACGACAAAAAAATGATTCAGTACAAAGGAGAGGAAAAGGATTTACAGAGGAAAAAAACGAAAAGTGATGAAAAGTGAATGCGCGCGGTGTGCCTCGCACTCTCTTATTCAATTTCGCGAACTTTTTTACGTCACAAAAATTACAAAAATGCCACCGCGTCTTTTTTACGTCAGATTTTAGTGTGTCCGACATTAAAGAGATGACGTAATATACTAATTTTCCACTAGTGATTGAAGCCCTTGCACACACCTTCTCTATCAAAGATTTGGATGACTCACACTATTTTTTTTTTTGTGTTAGGGTAATTCAAACTACCACAGGATTTCTCCTTAGTCAACACAAATATATTGTTGATCTTTTAGAGAGAACCAAAATGATGAAGCCAAGGTTGTCCTCACTCTAATGTCAATCGACACTTTCCTACGCAAGAATGATGGTTCTTTAAGCATTGATTCCAGCTGCTACAGAAGTACAATCGATACCTCTAGTATTTGTCCATGATATGCCTGACATTGCTTTCTCCATGAACATGTTGGCTTAATTCATGAAGCAACCAACTGCCACACACCTAACAACTTTAAAAAGGCTTTTACGTTATCTTAAAGGCACCATCTTTCATGGTATAATGCTTCAAAAAAAACCCAAAATCCTTTTCCCTCATTGCATATAGTGGTGTTGATTAGGCTGAAAATAAGGATGACTTCACCTCTACCTTTGCACATCTTGTATACTGCGACTCCAACTTGATTTCTTGGAAATCCTCCAAGCAATAATCTGTAGCTAGATCTTCAATAGAGGCTGAATATATAGCTCTAGAAAATTTTACAGTAGAACTATCATGAACTCACTCCCTATAAGATGAATTAGATGTCACCACCTCAAAGGCACCATAATTTTTTGTGACAACCTGAGTGCCACGTACCTTACTCATAATCTGGTATTTCATAGTTGTATGAAACATATTTCAATTGACGTTCACTTTGTCAAAGACTTAGTCCAACATGAAAAACTCAAAGTTCATCATGTTTGTACAACTGATCAACTTGTAGACTACCACACTAGACCTCTATCCGGCCCATTATCAATAATTACAAAATAAGATTGGTGTTGCTCACAAAACTCCAATCTTGCGGGGGCGTGTTATACCATTAAACTACACTTCTATACTCAAGGGATTATATTCTTATCTGTTTGTTATTATTTTGAATTGTACTTGCTTTAAATTATAGATAAGTATATCATGTTGTTACTAATTTAAAACAACTCGAGTATTATATCTATAATTTTTTATTTATTTATACATATTCAATTTTCTTTAGAGAGTTTAAGATATGAGAAAAAAAAAACTTATTCACATAACCTTTAATAGGGGCATAAAATGTAAACTAGAATTAATGTTTTATAAAATTGTAAAATACTTTATAAAAAGGACTACTAATTCCTTCTAAATTATACCCTATAATACGGTTTGGAGGAAATATTAATAAAACATATGATTATGCATATCATAAGTGACTGTAAAATGTATTTTATTTTCTATTCATTGTCATTAATTATCACTAAATAGAAAACTCAACAACATAGCCTCCTTAGAATATACGACATGTTTACAAAGCTTTGAAGTTTTGCAGAAATGTGAACTGTGGCCACAAATTGATCATGCTTTGTTGAACTGTGAATCATTTAATGATTTATTTTTTTAAATAAAATGAAATATTATTGAAGATAAATTACAACTTTTCGTCATGACTATATGGAGACTTTAGTGGTGTGATGTGGAATGCAAAGTATGAACAAGCAGATATAGTGATAAATAGAGCAAAGTTTGGTCTTGTAAATTGGTTAAATGATAACAAAATGTTGAATGGTGATGAACATCAAGCAAATCTAGTGGAGGTTATGAAACATTCCTTAAATGTGTGGATTCCTTCTTATTAGACAAATTGAAGTGCGATTGTGATATATATATATATATATATCAACAACTCATGATTATGCTAAACTAAATTTCTTATAGTTTATTTCTATACTAAAAAATTCATATTTTTTTAGGTGGGTGACCTTGTCAGTTTAAAAACTAGTGTATCTATGCGTATTGTCATTATTCTGTATGTGTGTGTCTGCAGGTGCAGTGCATATTGCCTGTTTACTAGATTTGTGTCTTTCATATTATGATACTCTTTATTTGTGTGTTCATATATATATATATATATATATATTTTGTGAAAGGCATCACAAGAATTGAAGTTTGTTTAAAGAATGAAAGAGAAGATATTTTGCAAGTAAAAATTATCTTTATCAAGGCCAATATGCTGGTAAAGGAGGGAGAAGCAAGTACTATATTGTATATTGGCTTCACAATCACCAATTTCATAATATAATTATTAATCATATTACAAATTGGTAGTCAATTAGATTCATATTATCGAGGAAGATATTTCTATTGGCTCCACAGTCCCAATTTCATAATGTGATTATTGAAGCAAATTGCAAATTGACAGTGAATCAAATTTATATTAATGAGGAAAATATTTTTTAGTGTAACATGATTCTTAATCAAATTAGTTAAATTATGAAATTCTTTTCCTTCTATTATTATTCAATATTAAAAAAAAAGTAATTTGGTATGTCATTCCTTAATTAAAAATTTTATTTTGTTTGATTCTGAAAATATTTATAATCCTCATTGTATTCATAATATTATTTTAATCACAAGAATATGATTCTGTTGGTGTTAAAAAAAAAACAGCCTCCCTGAAAATCGCATAGTATAATATTAATAAATTAGAAATAAATTACCAAAAAATAAATCGCAATTTCTATATAATAAGGCCATGCTAAGCATAGTTCATAAAAACTTGACAACAATACTGACAAGAAAAGTTGCATACAAAAAAAATTGGACATAAGATGGAAGAGAAGAAAGTTACTATGGCTCTTATTCTCATGCTTGTTCTAGGTTTTGGGATGGTGGTCACAACACTGAGTAAAGGTGAAGCTAATGGTGAGTGCATTGACGAACAACCCTTAGTTATCCACTGTGTGTATTATTTGGCTTCAACAAGCACAAGTAAACCACCTGCACCTGCTTTTTGCTGCGAAGGAGTCGCAGCAATGTTTCACAATGCCAACACCACTCAACGTAAAAGAACAGCTTGTAAGTGTCTGCAAAAGAATGCAGCATTTTTTCATTTTGATCCCGAAAAAGTGAAACGGCTTCCACAAGATTGCAACATTTCCTCTTATTTTCCTATTGACCCTAGAGAGAATTGTGACTCGTAAGTCCCTCCCATCTTTCTCTTTCTCGTACGTTAAACAACTTAAACTTTCGTGTCATAATTTATTTTTAATATTGTTTTGCTTAATTATGTGCAGGATTCCATGATTCTTCAAGAAGATAAATAGGCTTTGACACCATCATGCCATTTGATACTTAATGAGCATAAAATAGAGAGAGATATAGGTATCATTAATTAGTTCTGTGATCTGATCTAAGAAAAAGTTGATTGTGTATGACGTGTAAATGCCAATGTAAGTTCACCTCTTCAAGAAAGATGAATTACATGAAAGGATGAATAAATTTGGATCTAATAAACATGTGGTGAATTCAAAAGAGCCCTTATTTTCCCCAAAAATAACAATATATAATATTATAATTTACCGATACGATACGTATTTGATACGATACGGCGATATGATTATTTTAAAATATATAAAATATACATGTAAGATATGTGTCCATATATATTAATATTCATATAATATAATTAATATGTACATGTAATTTTGATCAAAATTCTTTAATATTAAATATATAATTGATATTTCGCAAATCTAAATTAAAAATATATTTATTGTACATTATTAAAAATAAATAAATTATAAATCATTTTATTATAAATTACGTTTTATTATTTACAAATAAAAATAATATTATCAATTTTATTTCTTTTTTAAAATTATCTATATAGAAGATAATTGTCATTTACAGTTTATAAAAGATCAATATTTCTATGTTTCTACATTAAACATGTTTTATATATCTTATTTAGCTGTAATGGATATTTTATATTTTTTTAAAAATTTGAATACTTATTACTCATAAGTATCGGTGAAGTATATGAGAGTATCGAAATTAAATAAAATTTTTATAATATTTTTAAAGGTTAGGATACTTTACTGTCACGTATCAGTGAAGTGTCCAAAAGTATCATATTGATTATTGAATACATATCGAATATGAATACGTGAAACAAATTGAAGTATTGGTAATTCGTATATACATAGATACAAGGAGTATGAATACCCTTTTACAAACTCTTAAAGATCTTGTATCTTCAAATGCAATGATTATATCCTATTTAACTAAATAATGCTAAATAAAGGATAACCATATTAGAATAGGATTGGTCGCTTCAGGCAAATATTGAAGAGTATGAACACAAATCAAATCGCAGCATATTTCGCTTAAGCCACGTTTTTCTCACTTAAGCCAAATTTTGTAGAAAATGTGTCCATTAGGTGCGGCAAGGTATTGGCTTAAGCAAAATAATTTCGTTTAGGCCAAAACCTTTGTAATGTTGACTTTCTAACACTTTAATCTTTGCAATACTCACAACTAGCCTTATGCATCCATTCCTCACCACACTAATCACTAATAATTGAATTCGTTTTTCATGGAGTAGCTCTCTTCATGACAGAAAACTATGTTCATGAAAACATTCTTCTCAAATAACATTAATTATACCTACAATTTCTATCTAACAACCTAATAATCTTCATGTATTCAAACAAAATTATTATAGAAAAAAAAAGAATTTCCCCGTACGAGAATTAGCACAAAAACTAATTGAGAAAGAAGATCAAATAAATGAACCAAAAAGTATTTAAATAAAATGAAAAGGTTATACAAGTTTTGAAAAATTAATTAAGCAATGCAATAATTTAAATACACAAACAATTTTTAATTTTAATTTTTCCAATTTAGACATTAATTACATCATAATTTATTCATTTTTTTTCTTCAATGGGAGCATAAAGTTTTATGAAGTGGCGAGGGTATGATTTATAATTTTTGATTGATAGAAAATCTAAGTAATAGCATATTCATTACAACAAAATTTAGTATTACCGACAATTATTTAATGGCAATAAATTAATTGTCTCTATTTTATTATTTAATAAAAATATTAATGACTATTATATAATGGTCACTAAAAATGTATTTACATCACTTCAAAATTTACTATTAACGACAATTATTTGTTAGAAAAAACTTAAGTCTCACATCGACTAGAAATAAAATAATTAAAGAGTATATAAGTGAATGATAACTCTCACCTTATAAGTATGTTTTATAAGGTTGAGTTAGATTTATAACTTACTATTCTAAGTTGGTATTTAGGATATAAGATAATTAAAAAAATTAAAGAATATATACTTAGAAGATAACCTTCATCTTCTAAGTCCCGCATCAATTAGAAATAAGGTAATTAAAGTGTGTTTGTACTCATCTTACAAGTCTTACATCGACTAGAAATAAAGAATATTATAAATCTTTTCTTAAACTCTTAGTGGCAATTTTAAATGCCAGCAACAAATGACTCAAAAAGTTATACACTTTTTCCGACCATTATGAGGGTCTTTACTAGCATGTATAATAATTGCCGGTAAATATTTTAGCGACACTGCATACAATGGCTAATGTGTGAAATTCGGTAAAAGATTTTATAGCAATTTTTATTGCCACTAAAAGTCATATTAAATGCCACTAAAAGTTTATTTTATTGTAGTGATTATAATTAATGATTTTTCTTCTAACAACATCTTTCTTATTTATTTATTTATTTTTTAAATTGATTCCTGATTTCATTTTATTTTAATATATACCTCAAAAATCAGAATTTTGTTATTAGACGATGTAAATTGAAATATACAATTTTTCTTTATGCAAAATTGGAATATACATTAATGCACTTCAATATATTCATTACAGGGAAGTAAGGCTAGTTTTTGTTAAAATAAGCCTAGCTATGCTCCGATGTCACATATCCTATCAGAGCATGTCCAACTGAAGTCTAAGCCTCATCACCAATATCCTCATGTTGATGATCACCTGCAACACAATTTAAAACACATACAAAAAACAACAAGGGAGTGAGAAACATCTCACTCGGTTCCAGATGTAGAAATTACAGTTAGGTAACACACACACAAATCATATAAGCCAGTCATAACTACTCATTAATCAGATGCAAATTCAATTTTTACATGTAATACATACACAGTCATTCATCATGCAAGGATGTCATGGATTCGACTCATAGATGTATGCATGTGGCGCCAATCACATGTCTCATAATCACATTTCTCATCATATCATCATGTTACGTCGTGGGTGACCCAAGGTACACCTCGTTAGCTTGTTACGTCGTGGGTGACCCAAGGTACACCTTGTTAGCATGTTACGCCGTGAGTGACCCAAGGTACACCCTGTTAGCATGTTACGTCGTGGGTGACTCAAGGTACACCTTGTTAGCATGTTACATCGGGAGTGACCCTAAGCTACACCTTGTTAGCTTATTACATCATCAGTGACCCTAAGGTACACCTTGTTTGTGACACCCTTACTACCCCAATACATATATCGAAATATAATAAATAAAAAAAATTAAGGAAAATAAACTTTTTAAGTTGGTAAAAGGGTTCACATAATACTTCATAACTGTTCTGACTGAAAAATAAAACTTGAAAGATAAAATTCAAGAGTTTACACATTTTTCAAAGAAAATAACATTTATTACAATACCAAATATTCTATCCTAGAGATCCTCTTGCCCCGATGTCACACTATCAGAGCATTTCCCAAATTAACGGATGGCATTCTATATACCACTTGCAGTTGGATCCTCTCCACCTAAAATATCAACAATTTATACGGTGAGAAAAGAAAAATTATCTATATGCAAAATACATTCAATCATATCACAGTATAATTTCATCATAACTCATTATATAGTGTATATATATATATAT